TGAAAAACAAACATATTCTCTGTATTCAAGAAGGCGTTTTTTTAGAATTTAAGACAGCTAGTGAACTATTAACTTAAAGTTACGTAACACAAAAGATTTTTTTTCAGTACCACTTTTGCATGTTAAAACAAGCCAATGGTAATAAGAAGACATTCAATGGCAGGGCAAGAAAAGCCCCTCCTTTTGCAATACGATTGGTCCATCTCACTGGGGCCGCTGTTCATTGGCCCTCCCCTGAAGGCTGGAATGTGCAATATTTCCATGCCAAGTAGCATTCAGTGTAGACCATAGAGGAATGCCTTCACAGTTCTTGCTCCTGGGCACTCACTCCCCTGGGATGCCCCCTAGTGCCTGGCACCTGCTTATGTCCTTTGATATCACTCGGCAGGGATGAGGTATCTGCATTCCTGGTTTTGAAGTTCAAAGGAAAACTCCGCTGTTCTGCTTACTCACAGCAGAGCAACACCACTGCCTTCCGTTACTTGCCCGTCCCTGATTACGATTTACGACACGCCGGAGAGGCCTTCCAGTTAGCGGTCCCTTAATCAAGTAAATATGACCGCTTGGCCAGTGTCGAAGCTCAGGGCCAGAGCGTCAAGATTGTTTAGCCTCGTTGCAGAGGCCGATTCGACATTTATTGCCGCCTGGCCGTCTACACATCTAACCTCAAGCAAGCCCTGTCCTGGGAGAGGTACCTTTAACTTCTGACATCTTTACTCAGTCTTAAAGGACGGGGCGAGCTCTTCGCCCACATATTTTCAGTAATTTGACCTTGATTGCCAGCGGCTGACATCTCATAACGATCCCACAACAAAACAAAAGCCGAGATGAACAAACGAGTCCCCCCCCCGCTTGCTTTGAAGTGAGGGGTAATTACATTGTAGCACCCTTTCACAGTTGAGGCGTGTCCACTTACGTGGTTTAGGGTTCTGAGAAATTTGTTTGCATGTCATGCTTTAGGTTCATCTGTGTCGGAGAAGTTCTTTAATAACTATTCACCTCCCCTCCAGGTGGCAAATTAAACATTGACGTCCTCGACTTCTCATGTGGTTTGCAGGGAGATGTCTTGCTGAATTCTAATGTTACCTCGTCTTTTCATGTCTTGGAGGGTCCTTCAGCTTCTTGAATGACATGTGGTGTTGTGGTTAAGGTACCGGAAGTATTAAACAGCAGGTAGGATACTGATGTCCCTGAAGAAGAACCACTGTGGTGCTTGATGTTCTACTGGCTTCACATCAACATGTTTTTAGATAAACAACAGCTCAAGCTGCACCACTTAAGAAAATTCATAATGCAATCAGCGTAATATTCAAATTCAATCAAGGAATTTTCTCTCGATCAAATTGAAAACTGATCTTATAGGGTAATTATTGGGTTTTGAAAGCGTCACGCTTTCCAGGTCTCTGTGAAGAGTATTTAGGAAGGATGAAAATTCTGGAAGATTTAATGGGCAATTTTTTTCAACCAATAAGCTGGAAACCTCCGAAAACATATCCAGGCCAGGCTGTGGGCCGTGTTTCGTCCTTACAGACGGGAGCTCGACGGTAATACCTCCTTTGCCGGAGCTTAGTTAGACGTCGCCATGAATCCTCTGTGGATTTGGTTCAGCACGGACCGTCTGGATGAAAGGGAAGGTCGATTTCAGCTGAAACCTGCCCCCGGAAGCACGGAAGTGGCGGCGGCGGCGGCGGGTGGGGGCAGTGGCGGCGGCAGGGGGGGTGGCAGTGGCGGGGG